AGCCCCATTACAATATTTGATTGAAAAAGACGTATATTGGATGATATTGAATGATTCTAGAGAAATGTGGATATTTTGATTTTTTTGTGGTGTTTTACTACTAATTTTCAGGGGACTGGGAAAATTCTGTTTTCGCAAGCAATACGTCCACCACAATAACCCATCTGTGGAGTAAAGTTACGCTGCAAGACGGAGAGTAACGCTGTAACTTTCCCAACAAGCGGTAACTACAGGAAATCCAGCGCGCTAAAAATAGGTCGGCTTGTAGCAGCAGTTACTAGGCACCGATGCGATGACCATCAGAAAATATTTTCTGGATGAACTTTATTGAATTCCATTCCGGAGCGAAAGACTATGATAAGATCCGTTTATGCTTTGTTGTTCGCCCATCCCACCACTTCTGCATTTACATGTGTATCCTGTATCAGTGGATCATCGTCGGCGGGGTTTGTCTGCAGCAATACTATATCGAAGAGTTTCATTATCGGGTTTACCGGACGGGTTTAAGTGGAGTGAATTTAAAGCCTTGGCCTGCCCAGGGGCGGCCCATGTCCGCTGGGCCTTCCGAGGACCCATCCATGGAACCTGGCTGAGCAGCGATCTGCTCTCACTCGTCTGTTTCATCCCTCTTGGGTATGGATAATGGCGGTCGAGGTCCCTCCGCAGGTGTTTTTTCTTTTTCTCTACACGGTAACTAGGCAAGTGAAGCTGGGCTGGTTCCTGGCTGCAAAGCGGGTGTAGCCACCAACTCTCTGGCCAAATGAGAAATACGAACTTGCGGGCTTTAAGGGACATCGGATAGTGTGGAGCTTATTCAAGCGAAAGTCGTGCACGAACTTTCACTAAAAAAGAAAAAGAAAAATCCGAAATCTCGTAGCAAACCAACCCCTCTTTCCAGAGAAACGTCGACAGCGCAACAATCAACACGAATCGATATGAATTGGCGCCTCAACAGCTCCCCGACGACCATCCTGCCGGAAGTAAGTGGTGGTTCAGGGCATCGGGTAACGTGACTGTCCCGCGCACTCAGCCTCATTGTAATGTCAAACGTACGTCGAACTTCAACTCCTCCAACTCCGGCTTCATTTCGAACAGCATCTTGATTTCCAGCTTCTCTCTTTTCGCGCCGGGGGAACTGCGTAGTTCCTCATTTCTTTCTTGCTTTCTTGCTTTTTTCTTCTGTTTTTCTCCTGCTCGTTCTTGTTCTTTCCCCCTCCACCTTCCCCGCGGTCATCCCTCAATGATCGGCAGCATTCCTAGGCCAACCCTTTCATTCTTACCTGTCTCCTTTGGCATTTAGGCATGCCGCCCGTCAGCGCCCTCACCTTCTGAGTTATATTTAGATCTTCTGTTTTGACCGCTGCCGCCGTGCCCATTCTGCCTCTCCCCCCGCCCCCCTAAACCGCCCACTCGCTTGTACCCAGCCAACCCCCGGTTGCTCCGATGCTGCACTCCTCGGGGTGAAACAACTCCCCGTCCAAATCCCCCTCCCCCTTTTCCTCCAAGAGGCGCGGAAACACCACTTAAACCTATTTCCACTCACCCGACTGCCTCCTTAGTGACCTTAATGTCCGCCCAGACTCATGCAATTCTTTCATAAAAATAGATCGCAGGCGTCACTAGTTGGTTCTGTCGACAACTGGTCTAATCACCCGCAGCATCAGCAACAGCAGCAACAGCATTACCACCACAACCAAAATCACCACCAACCCCAACAAGCCCCTCCCCAGGCCGCGGGCGAATCACTCGACTACAACAGTGACGCTCAATACCAGCGCTCTTCTTATGCTAATAACGAGACATACGACCAAGGCTACGCTCATGCTCACTCTACCCACGCGGTTCAGCATCCTTACAGCCATCAGAATCAGCAACCGACCGATCCTAATCTCATCCCTGGACTGGCTGTCACTTCCTTTTCACCTGCTTCTCCTCAGCCTGCTCCAAATTACTCCAGACGACCGACTCTGAATCTTGTCCCGCCCTCTGCAAGTACCTTCAGTTCCTCTCATACCTCTGCAAACCCCGAAGTGAGCTCGTCCGAGTTGTCGTGGACCCTCCATAGCCCTCAGACTTCTCCTCCATTGGAATCGCTCCCAAAGAAGTCAAGAAGGAGTATTTTCGGATTTTCTTCATCCAAGGACTCTACGACGCCTGCACCCAAAGTGTTGGGTCGGAACCTCTCCGTGCGAAAGAAAGATATAGTGCAGACAGTTCCGCCAAAAAAGACACCAGGCGGGAAGTCTATTGGTCCAACTCCGGAGTCTACTGAAGAACAAGCTGTAGAATCCCCTATGCCGCTCTCGAAACGGGCTCCACAATCCCACCACCACCAGCAGCAGCATCCCTCCTACCCTTCCAAAAACGCCAATCGATCATCTTCACATCTTGAAGCTCAGACATACGACCAGCGCCCTGAGAATCGTTCTATACAGCGTGTGAATACTGATCCACTATCAAGCCAAGAATCCTTCTACGCGCACCGAGAGTCTAGCGACTCGTTCCAGGCGAAACAATTCTCAGAAGTGCAGCAACCCGCACCCCTCAACCCTCAGTTCCAGATTAGCTACCCCACACGACGTGACTCGGTTGCCCACTTTACAGAGCCAACTTCCGACCCACCCCCGTATTCTTCCCAGCCAGAAGCCCTTCTTACTGCTCGGCCACCCTCGCAGCAGTCCGGAGGCCCGCCGCCATCCTCTCTCAACCAATATCAATCTGCTGACCAAGGCCACCAGAAGCCAATTTTCCGACAGACCCTCCAGCCCTCTGCAGGACCTGCGCAGATTCAGGGCAACATGCCACCAGAGAGACAAACGGGACTGCGACAGCAGGTAGACTCTGCGCCTCAACATGGCGGGCAAGGTCGAGAAGGAATGGCTGGTGGCCAACCCCAATATCCACCAAATCTTGCCCAGGGCGGGAGTTTCAAAGGAAACCATTCCCAGCAGAGCCTAGGAGACCAGGATCGACAAACACCACCGCCAACTAATAATAATAATAATAGTAGTAGTAATAAAGGCCGCGAAGACCTTTCAGAAGCCGAAGTCCGTGCATTAGTGCAAAAACACGAGGAACTCCGTACGTGACCTTTGCGAGAGGCTCTATCTTCACAATATTATCTAAACCCCCGTCTACTTCAATCTCTTGGCTCTACTGACCATTTCCCTACAGAAGCCAAATATCTTAAAGTTAAAAAGTACTATTTCGAGAAGGATGCTCAGGTTCAACTACTCCAGAATACCGTGGCTCATCAGCGAATGGCTACATCTCGTACAGTCCTTGACGATAGTGAATATCTGACACGGTTTTCCCGCCTGGATGGCGCGATTAACAATCTTGCTTTCAATATTCGCAAGGAGTGGAGGAGCATTCCGGTTTGGTTACAAGGCTTCGTTAATGATGATGCGATTGCCGTCGGGACTAAGGAAATGACGGCTGTCGGACGAGCATGTCTCAGTCGATGGCTTGTCGATGAGATATTTGACCGATATTTCCATCCTGGTCTCGAGCCGAATCTTAGTTGCAATTTGAAAATGATTGAGCGCAATGTGCGGTGTGGTGCCAAGATAGCCTCAGAGGAGGATAGAGAGAACCACCTTTCCAAATTGTCTGCTTGGCGCAGGACCACGCTGGATGGATTGGGCGAGGTGTTGCAGAGCCGAGCCTCGGAGGAGAATCGATCGCAGTTAATTAAAGGCCTTGTCGAGAAGCTCACGGCGGCTTTGGAAATGCACTTAAAAGCCCCACCGCCCCCAGGACTCGAAAATGGTGTTTCCATGATTGTCGAGCTTGCCGTTGGCATCTCTTCAAATGTCCCCTTTGAATCGAGAGAGATTGCTATCGAGTACTTCCTCCCCGGATCTCCGATATCAGATACTTACATGAAATTAGAGCCATCGCTGCCTCCACTCGTCAGCTCCTCGGAACCCCAGTCTGCCGTCGATCAAGGCTCAGCGACGAAAACTATGAAGCCCGGCCTTCCAACGGAGGGTTCTTCCATGCTGGAGCTGGATAGGGAGAGCGGGAAAGATTCCTCATCTGCCTCCACCACCCACTCTATCCAAGCTCCCGTGCCTTCCGCACAGCCCAAGGAGTCGAGGAAGAAATCGGTGTTTGGGTCGCTGATTAGCAAAAAGCCGCATTCCGGCGGCCCTGGTGGCGCAAGCCAGGGTCAAGCTGAACAGCAAGCCCGACCCGCGTCTGCTCTTACGCGGGAGAGGGAACGGGAGGAAGCGGAGTTTAGAGAGGGCGAGTGTGGAGCCCCCAACACCAGCAATAATCACATTAACCGCATCAGGTTTGCGGCATTTGTTGCCGTGGAGGTGAGGAGTAAGGGAGCAGGCAATGTGATTGTTCATGCACCAGTCTATGGAGTAATGTGATTGCCTTGTCCTTGTTTTGATGGATTTCGTTTGAACCCCGCTTCTCGTTCGCCTTCTGGGCTGTTGTGATTTGATTTTTGTTTGGTTTCATTCTTCTATACCTGGGGGCGGATATCGGAGATTCTTGTTATCTCTTCTCCCTTTTTACCTTTTTTTTGGTTTTGAAATTGGCAAATATATACTCTTGCTTTTTCTTGTTATTTTGCCAATGCGAAAAATACTGGAAAGTATATGATGATGAACGCAACCTCTTGTTTCTTTCCCCCACTAGTTTCCCGTTTTTAGCCCCCTCCCTATTTTTCTCCCAGCGATCCTTTTTCTTAGTGAACTCAACCACTGGATCTTGGGGACCTTGACGAACCATGTCTCTTTTAGCGTCGTTCGCTCGTTGCATTCATCCCTTCCCCCATTTTCCCTTGTGTGTGAAGTAGGAGTTGAAATCTTAGGATGGGTGAGATGGGATGGGATGGCTTCATGAGCCACATTATTTATTTTCCTCTATATTCGATTCTTCCCACTCATGATGATTTTTACTTTTCAACAACGAATCGTGAGGTCTCATTGTTTTTGACGGATAAGCCCGCTTTTTGAGATTTTCGCGATCTTTTTTTTTTTTTTTTTTTTTTTTTTTTTTTTTTTTCCTTTTAGACTTGGTTGTGGAGGAGATGATTTGACAGGGATCCCGAAAATGTACAGCCAATGTTGGCCTTTTTTGGTTTCTTTTTTAGAATTATACTGTCAACCCGAGCGAGAAATTTGTTTTGAAAAGTAGGAAAAAGTGTAGATAGTAGGATATACGTGCGCAGAATATCTACATTTCCACGAGCGCCCGAAATAATTCCCATTTTGGGTAAGCGACGTCTTGGCACACCGCAACATCCACTTACATAATCTCCAAGCGAACCCACGCCAAGCCTTGACCCGCGCTAGTCTGTTTCCAGCTAGCCGAGTATTTTCGATCCCACAACGGCAAACATTCTCAACGACGAGCAGAACATCACCTAACCTCCTGTCCGTCAACCAACCCTCGACTACACTCTCCGACAACCCCTCCCCTTTTCAAGCCAAGCGACGATATACCCGCCTCGTGCGCCGCATATATCGCCCATCATGTGTACGTATTGGCTCCCCCGTTGCTGCGCACTTTTTCCTCCACGAAAAGTTAAAGAGGAAGTCGCTCGCTGACGAAAAGGGCTATTGAAACAGCGCTCGTGTCCGGCGAGAAGACGAACTTCCAGTTCATCCTTCGTCTTCTTAACACCAACGTCGATGGCAAGCAGAAGATCATGTACGCCTTGACAAAGATCAAGGGTGTTGGCCGTCGCTATTCCAACCTGGTTTGCAAGAAGGCGGATGTTGATTTGACTAAGCGGTGGGTTTTTGCTTGTTCTTTTTTTTTTTTTTTGCTTCTCTTATTCCACTTCATTTTCCTATTGGGGCCGTTCTTGGAACACCTTTTTTGGACGGAACAATGAGGATCGGGAAGTCGGTTTGGGCTTGGATTGGGATTGGGATTGGGTACTTGGATTCGAAAAAATTTGACGTGGGAGTGGATTGGATTGGGATCAGGAAAATGAAAGATGGCAATTGGAGGCCACGAATGTCGATGTTACAAGACGACCATCCGAAGAGTCGCTCCCAGTTTGCTCCATGAGAGATTCATTCCTCTTTCGGAGCCATCCACCCATCCATCTCAATGTCACCAAAGAAGCCTTTCCCGAAGCCCGAAGAGCCACATCTCCTCTTCCCCTTTGAAAGTCAAGCCGTTCTATGTGGGTAATAAACTAACATGAAAACTGCCCCACAACAGCGCCGGAGAAATCACCTCCGAAGAACTCGAGCGCATCGTCACCATCATCCAGAACCCAACCCAATACAAAATCCCCACCTGGTTCCTCAACAGACAGCGCGACATCACCGACGGCAAGGACTCTCAGGTCCTCGCTAACCAGATGGAGTCCAAGCTGCGTGAGGATCTCGAGCGCCTGAAGAAGATCCGCGCCCACCGTGGTCTGCGTCACTACTGGGGTCTCAGAGTGCGTGGTCAGCACACCAAGACCACTGGCCGGAGAGGGCGGACTGTTGGTGTCAGCAAGAAAAAGGGTTAAACGGGTGTTTTTTCATGTTTTTCTCGTTTTTCTTGCCTGTTCTTTTTTTCTTTCTCTTTTGTTGGTTCGGTTTTGGGGGGATTGTGTGAGGAGAGGAGGTGAGGGATGTTTGTAAGGGACTGGTCAGTTACAATGCTTTCTACGGCATGTACTCCTTGTGTCTTTTATGCGGCTTATTTGCTTGCTAGGCACTTATGGGAATGAAATGAGGGTGTTTTTTTTAATTATGAATGGAAGGACAAAAAAATGAACTCCAAAATGATCCATCAAGAGATCTTGTATGAATCTAATCCATCTGTCAGTTTCCTCACCTCACTATGAGTGAGCCTGTTTTGCGGAAGCATGATGCGATGCCTGTGTAGGGGGTGGGATAATTGCAATAGAGAGAGCCAATGTCCAGGCAGTCACAGTGAGTTTGGGCTAGTACTACTGTGCCTGATCTGTTTGTCAGCTGCTATATCCTTGATAAGAGCCAGGCCATTTTAGATGCTCTCTCTCTCTTTCTCCCTCATCTCTGCCCTCAACCGTGAAGTTCAATGTAACAATGAATATTATAATTGCCAAATCCACATGTATTAGGCACGCGCGTTCGAATATATATCTAAGGCGTCAAAGGTATCTTGTGACATCCCTTACAGCTGGCTCTAATCTACACCATCAATTTAAATCAATAAAGTTCTACTCTCCCCTAAGAAACAGATGCAGCCGCCCCGAGACGGGAAAGAAGATACACATTCATAATGTATATGTATTGTGTTATTTCTTCTAGTTATATTATACCTAAGTAGCCAGGCGACCGCATTGCCGCTTTCATGTGGGAATGGCTGACTAGAACTGAGGAAAAAACAATGTCATGAAATGAGTGAAATAGAAAAGAGATAGCGCTGCGTGATAAGAAGAATGAAATTGGCAATCTTGTGCAACTCAAAATGCAAATACTAATATAAACCGCATAATTAAAACCCCTTTAAAATAAAAAGAGAACAACGATAAGACACTGCTAGAAGTGGAGTTGTGGACTGCTTGGAAAGTATCAAAATAAAATATATCCCGTAAAAAAAAGGCCTTGCATGCATCACAGGCAGTTCGCCCTTTCTCAGCTCTAGAATCTATAGTTTATCGTTATGAAAAACGTATAGAATAGACAGTCTAGGATGACGATTTAGCCGACCATTCACCCTTCAGCCAGCGGTTCATGAATTCCAAGCTCGCCTCGGGTTGGTCGAGCGGGACCATATGTCCGCCTCCGTACAGGCGCATGAAGGTGAAGTTACCGGCGGACTTCACTTGGCCGATAACCTTACCCTTGCTCTTGTTATCCACAATAGTCAAGTTCTTCATTTCAGCCGCGGCAAATTTGGCATGACCGGGATACTCGAGAGCCTCTGCCCAGGCCTTATTGCCCAGCCAATTGCAAATGAAATCGGCATCACCGGCATAAAGGAGGACGGGCATCTCAGCGATGAGTCCTGGAACGAGACGGTGGAATGGTTTCATCCAGTCGCCACGGAAGAGGAAGTTGCGGTTAATATCCATGTTGCAGGAATCGTAGGTGCTCACTTCGGCGCCAAGCGCCTTCATCACCTCAGCCTGGTTCAAGTATTTGCTAATATCTCCCAGTTGAGTGTAGCAGAGGTTACCGCCTTCGCAATCGGTCCGTACATCGTAGGGGTTCCGACCGGTGCGCTGGTAAGGGCCGATGATTGCGTTGTTGCAGTAGATAGAAGCGGGAACACAAGTCCATGCGCTCTCGCTGCTGTAGCAAGCTTCGATCATGGAAAGGCAACGCGGCAGAGCATTATCCATGGATTGGCAGCTAGCTTGATCCAACACCGCCGGGTATCCACCTTCACCACAAGCCATGGGTCGATAGAGTGGGTATTGCGTGAGAGGATCGGTCAATCCGTTTCCAATCAGAATGGACTTGAGGTTGATATTGCGTTCCTTATGAGCCATAATTTCGGAAGCAAAGACTGGAATATAATGTCCGGCATAAGATTCACCAGCGATATGGAAGTCCTGCTTCGCATATTCCGGGAATTGCTCGAAGAATAGCGTAAGAAGGGCATAGACATCCTTGCCAGCAGCATTTGTATCGCTAACGGAGCCACCACTATAGGAGTAGCCCACGTTGACGGGCTGATCGAGGAAAATAACGGACGCGTTCGCGTTCCATGAGTACGGGTTGTAGTTAACCTTTAGATCTTCTGTAATGGACGACGGACCCAGTTCAAGAAAGAGACCTGTGAGTGAACTGCAACCAGGACCTGTTCAGCGGGATCATGTGGGTTAGTTCGTTTGCTTGTTTTCAATTTCGTTTGTAATGATTGTAAAGTAAGTGCGTAGGAAAACTCACCGCCGTTGAGCCAAAGAACGACCGGGTCGTTCTCAGGATCGTTGCGAGATTCGAAAAACCCTGTTCGTTGGTTAACCAATAGTTACTGAAGGGGTTGTGCCTTCTTCTTTCAGATGGGAGGAGGTAGTTTGGCTGCCCTACAGTAGAAAAGATGTTTATCATTCTCGTTATCATCGAGATATCCACTGTACTGCCTGACAGTATCAACACCAAGCGCTTTCGGGTCAACAGCCTTGACTCTCAAGTCATAAGCTTCAAGTTTTCCGCCGACTTTGCGATGCTTCTCACCATCGTCGCCTTCCACCCAGACGGCCTGGATTTCAGCACCGCGGACGATGTGGTTCCATTCGGAATCCGGGCGACGGTTAAATTTCTTGGGTGGAGGGGTATGAGTAATGGTATCCATGATATTTGGGACTTTGTCGATTACATCATTCCAGAGGTTTGTGGCCTGTCCGCGTAGGTGGTCAAAGGTGTCGGCGATCGTTTGGAGTGGTGGTTCAGCGACATCGGGGTTGTCTACTGGTGCCTGGAGGACCTGTTGCTGCGGCCCGGCGGCGATTGCACCTCCAACGAGGAGTGCAAGGGCGAGAGACTTCATAGCCACCAGGTACAGACCGACTTTCAGGGAATCGAGAATTGTTATAATCTATGATCCGTACGATGTTCGATGTTAAACGCGAGCCGGGAAGCGAGAGTAGGAACGAATGGGTTGTATATATACATACCTATAAAAAGGTTATTCGGACAATGGAGCTGTTTTAGATCTGAAGTGTAGATGAAACAGGATGGAGCTCGGGCCGACGGAGGAGTGAATGGATGAAGTTGATATGGGAGAGAAAAGCAGAGTTGTAGATGGTTGGGGGAAGGATGACGATGAAGCGGCTGGGGACTCATTGCGTCACGAGACTTGGCGCCTGGCGGCTATCGGCTCAGGGACGCCGATATATATAACTAACTTATCGAGGCACAATTAGCGAGATACGATTAGTGTACCAACTACGCTGTTAGCTCAGAAGCTACCACCAATAATTTCTCATACTAAATTCTATGCAATCTGATTTGTTGATACAGATTTTCTGCTCTATTCTGTTGTACCCAGCATATGTATACTTACTGTCAACTTTCCTGTTCATCATCATCAAATTTCCCTGTCATCTACTCAAGCTTGTGTCTGCAGTATAAAAGAAAGAGAGAAAGGAAGAATATAGATAGAGTTTCAAGATTAAGATTTGTTTGTGCTTCTTATATCTAGTGGATGTCTTAATTAGGGTTAACTAGGTCAAATAGATTACATAAATTACACTAAAACACGCCAATGTAGCTGATCTCTCATATAATCCAGTAGTTTTCTTGTATTTAATACACTAATGTACACGATAAAAACCACGCTAATTGTGCCTCGCCAGACGATCGCTCCGAATGGCCAAGGGATTAGTAACATAACTCTTATGGTCCAGGCGCCTGTATTTAAAAGAAGAGGGTGAAATACACATCTAATTCTACCAGCATTTGAGTTTTGCAAATGATCCGTCTGCGGCTTCATGGATGCATGGTCGAACCAGTATGCAGTTTCCTACATGTTTATGTGCCTCAAACAGCTTCCAGGATGACATCATCCCTTGGAAGCGTATTGGGATCATCATATCGGACATTGCTCCAGAGTCTGCAGCGCCTACTTCTCAAGCCAATCATGAGAGGCATAACCAAGACAGTATTATAAACTTTGGCATTATTCTACCGTTGGAACTGCCCTGTAGGGAATTTGATGTTATATACCCGGTGGGGTCGCTCCGCATTTGTCCAGGAGCCAAGGTTGTATACACTAACAAGTTTTTGCGAACTGGGATAGAACTAAACTTGGGCTGTGGCCAGGCTGACATCTAGCACAAAGTGTTACCCAACCATGGCGATGGCATTATCTATGTTGCATTACAGGTTATGGAAGAGTCATGGTATGTGTCTTGCAACGGTTTCAATTATAATAAAAAAAACATGGACATCGTACCATTCTTTAGGAATGGGGTTGATAAAATTACCATGTAATGGAATATCCGCCGTCGATAGGATGATCTGCTGCAACTACTAGTCCCCAGTTAAGGAATTGACCAGACTCTGTGCGTAACGGAAAAGCCTGACGACCTTACCTGCCAGGCTCCAAAGCGGAAAACCACAGACCCCATCCATCATATGTCGCGAAGACCCCTCCCCTAAGTACTGTACATCCGGCGTGTGTGGATTTATTACTGATGGGGCTCTTCCGGGTCATCACTCGCAACCCACCGCCCTCTCCAAGGCCTATTTGTCCCCTCCCTCTACCCTGTGGGTGGGTTATTCATGAAGACAGGACGTCTAATGGCGTATTTGCTGACTTTTCAATACTGTGCAGCCGAACCGGGGTGCCCCCCAGATAATTTTCAAAACACTGGTAAAACGAAATGAAATATCTGGGTGCCGTTGGACGAGGGAAACACCTATCCAGGGTGACAGCTCCTTCGTTATTGTCCTTGATTCCTCTTCCATTTTGCCTGCCACGGGATGAAAGACACGCGTGTTACGCAGAAGGCCATCATTATGTACTTACTTATTTCCCAATTCGGCTTTAAGATAGGACTCGGGTCGACGTCAAAATTTTCACGACCCTGAAACTGTTTTTTTGAGCCCAGCATGACATCGGGGAGGAGTGTCTCATTTTGGGCGATATCTCCTGTCGGTTCTATTGACCTGCATGTGGGAAGTTCCGTTTGATATGGCTGCCCATTCGATTTTAAAGAGGCAATAGCAAGGCCAATGCGCTATCACACTTGGAACACCGTTTGGATTAGAAGTCAGATGCTCCAGCACAATGACTGCATAGCTCTCCCAGTATTGCGTCCCTGTGATGGAAATATTCATTGTTATAAAATAATCCGTAATGATATTGAAGAGCAGTTCAGGTTCGCCAACATCTCGTCGGCAATCGACATTCTCCGTATCTTGATTGAATCGGTAGGAATGGTTCGTCATCCAACGGAACGTTCGAGGATCTGGTGTAGTTGGCAAGGACTGCATGCGAAATAGGAGAAAATGGCCGTCCAATGACACCGAAATACCGCCTGGGAAGAAGGATCCAGCAGTGCTGAGCAGAGCAGCTATATTTCAAGAAGACTCCTAGGATCCTCTTGAAGGTTCAAGACGAGAACGATGTGCCGGCAATCAGGAACAACCTCTGAGGACGATTCCTTACCAGTTTCTTGTTCTTTTTTGCTCAGGGGTCGGGTGAGCACATTTAAGCGTCAGAGAAGTTCTCTCCGCTGGAATGGGGGGGATTGTCAGTAAGGCGACTGACCACCGCTTTCTCCCGAATTGAAAAGGTATTTCCGAGAATAAAATAACAGTGAGTTCGCGATATCAATAATAGTATCACAAGGAACGAGGGTAGGGGGAGCCAAATTTAAGCATCGATTTGAAGCTGCCGACCCTAGGACGGATCACTTTTTCTCTCACGATCCACGGATGACAGAGATTGCATAGTCAGAGAGAGTCTAATAACCTTCCCCTTGAATCAAAGGATCTTCTGAATGCATCACTGGTCATCTGAGGTATGTCACTGAATAGTGCAAAAACACCATGAACTTGCAAATTGAGCTGCAAAATTGAAGGCTGTGATTTTGATTAGCTGCGCTGATTTACAGATGGTAGACCAAACGAGAGGCGCACAAAGATAGCCTGATTGGAATCTTAACTTCACTTACGCCGTGGTCATTAGTAACTTGGTTTGCGAGCATGGTGTTTCTTTTCTTCTTTTCTTCCTGTATGGAGTCAGTTCTTGACCACGAGGAGGAGGGGAACTAGGTAGGAGGCTAGCCGGCACGTGAAAGTTGCTGGGCATGGCACCGTCATGTTTGTTCTGTTTACAATTTTTCCTTCCCCCTCTATTCTTCCCCCCAAGTCAACCCATCCACGTATATATGTCTATATGTCAAGACATCACTCGATTTTATATGAAGTATTGGTTTTATTAACAAAATAAATACCGTTACCACCATCATATTTTTTGTTACAATCCTGTATTGAATCCCTATATAAGATTCCAGCATTCAAACAGCCCCATCCCGTTAAAACCAACATTCAGCTGCCAATTACCCCTCATTTCCTCTCAAAATGCCTGTAGGCATAAACCAACCCTCAAACCAGATTCGATTCACGAATGTCTCTATCGTCCGGTTGAGAAAAGGTTAGTAAAACCCCCCCTCGTCTACTGTTTTTCGTTACTTCAACCATCTCTCACACGCATAAATCTAACCACAACCATCTCCAGGCAAGAAACGCTTCGAGCTAGCTTGCTACAAAAACAAGCTCCTCGAATACCGCTCAGGGACTGAAACGGATTTGGATAATGTCCTTCAGATCCCCACAGTCTTCCTCTCAGTCTCCAAGGCCCAGACAGCCCCTGCTGCAGAGTTAACCAAGGCGTTCGGCACCAAGGCGTCTAACGATGAGATAATTCAGGAAATTCTGCGGAAGGGTGAGGTCCAGGTTGGTGAGCGTGAGAGGAGAGATGTCCTCGAGCGTATTGAGAAAGAGGTAATAGAGATCGTCAGTGCGAGGTTGGTTGATCCTGTGTCAAAGCGGGTTTATACCACTGGTATGATTTCGAAGGCGCTGGATCAGCTGAGTGCTGTGAGCGGGCAGCAAGGTGGCACCGCTGCTCCCAACAAGGGTAAAGCTTCTGAGACTGCTGAAACGCCTGATGCTGCTCCTGGGGAACCAGACACTGCTGAGGAGGATGAGAAGACACCCAAAAAGCCGATGTGGACCGGCGTTGTGACGAAGAAATCTGCCAAGACTCAGGCCCTCGATGCCATGAGAGCGCTGATTGCCTGGCAGCCCATCCCCGTCATGCGGGCCCGTATGCGTCTGCGGATCACATGTCCCACGTCGATCCTTAAACAGGCTGTCAAATCTTCTCCTGGCTCTGGTGGTGGTGGCGGGAACCACGGGTCATCTCCTTCGAAAGGTGGGAAGAAGGGTAAAAAGGGCCACGCGCGTTCCGGTTCAAATGCTTATGTTGAGGATGATGATCATGACCAAGTGCACGAGACTGCCGCACCAAAGGCGTCCGGCACAGTCAAAGATCGCATCCTAAGCTATTTCGAGCAGGTCGAGGTACAAGATGTGCTAAATGCGGATGAATGGGAGGTTATTGGGTTTGCAGAACCAGGGGCCTTTAAGGGCCTGAGTGAATTCGTGGGAGGAGAGACGAAGGGGAAGGGAAGGGTGGAAGTTTTGGATATGGCGGTTACTCACGAGGAGTGAAGGGCAAGTGAAGAGACTGATGTCTGTTTTCTTTGTTTTTGTTTTTGTTTTTGCATTGGTTTGCTATGCGTTGTTTAATTGGGCCGGTACTTGATATCCAGATGAAACTATGGATGGTCATAACTTTTTATATACCTCCGGGCTTTGGTTTTTTCGACATGTTGTTATTTATGAATTTCATACTGGTTGAGAATAATGAACCTTTCTCACCGGATTACTCCAACTCTAAATTTTGTTTTTCTACAAGAGCATATGCGAATTTACAAGTTTATCGTATAAGTTCTTGCAAGTTTCGCCCTTGTCACGGCCGATCAGCCAAGCCATAGACACCAAAGAAAGCCCTTATAAATATTTCGCGAATGGCAACAAACCCTATGTTAACTGTGATACTAGGTTATTCATTAAATTCAGACCCATTTCAACTCAGTTACCCCACTCGCTGCCTTCGAGTGTCATTCATAATTCGTTGAAGGGGAAAACCAACTGGACCAAAAAACCACCGGAGATAACCCAGTTGGTTTACAGACTGCGTTGGCTCCTGTTATAAAAACTTGGTGCAGAGAGAGCGTAAACAAGGGAGCCGCAATTAACTCAGGTATTTATTTAGCCATAATCTATGTTTCAGCATGACCTAATGTCTATAGATATGTCTCTATCAATCTATAAGTATAGACTCGCCATAAGTTTGAAACATTTTTGAACATCAAATCGGCCCGGTGTACTGCCAAATTGAATTTCATAACAGTTTCAAAACTTATGGCGAGGTACTGAATGTATCTAAACCTCTGTCTATGTACATGTTTAGCATAAATGCGCGGAGAACAAAGGGATAATAATAGGCCACAAAGACAGAAAAACAAAGAAAACAAAAGAGGAATAACAAAATAAAGCAACCTACATACGAATGACAATTCAATGTAAGAGAATTCGCGCCACCACCCAGTGCTTATATGCTCATATCAAACAGAAACCCAAGCGCCCGGTAACCAATTATCTAAGCCAACAGACAAAGGAAAAGAATGAACCGATACATCGTAGCAGTGATATAATACCAACACAAAAATATCATTACTCATGATCTTAGCTTTATCGCGTGCAACGCACTCGATAGCTGCTCTGACGAGACGGGCCGGGACATGGACGGTGACACAGCTTCCTTTTCTGCCTCTGAGACCCGATTTGGTTGAACGGCGGAGATTGTTGCTGCATCCACCTGAGTGGGTAGCGTATCTTGCGTTTGCAATGTGAGGAGCGTAGAGGAGCTCATGTTTCCGTCGACTGGTTGTAGTATGGTAGCCCTGATATTAGGAGCGATAGGAGGACCACTATCGATATCCCTTCGTTCTGAGAAGGTGGTGGTAATTGGTGATGTGGAATACACAGTAGACGAGATAATTCCTGATGCGTCCTTCGACGGCATTAGCGGATGCCGCTGATGCACATCCCCTACTCCGCCATTAATGCACTGCACAACCCCTCGCTCGCTCTCTACGCTCCCTCTGCGGCTCGGTGGTGCCCTCGTCCCCATCGGAGAGAGCTCTGAGAGCATCGACCGCGGCCGATCCGCACTCAACATTGCGTTGGATATCGAATACGCCGCCAGCCGCTGGATATGGGCTTCATCGAATGGGCCACGGTATTTCGACCGCGGTACCTCGTGTGCCTTGTATAGCTCTATCTTCGGCTTGCCGTTTGCTCGATATTTGATCTTGCCCGGTTTGACGCCTATCGAAGGTCCGATTCCGCCGCCTCTGTGATCGCGGGCCTGGCTGGGCCAGTAACCGTTCTTCGGACGGCTTGATTTCTGGTTCTTGGAGTCTTTGGACGTTTGGGTGGGAGAGGAGCCAGGGAGAGACCCGGAATCGGAGCGGGAGAAGACGCGTTTGATCTTCTCGCGGAGGGGTTTTATTGACATATTGACGAACGTCCGAAGATTCGACCTGCGAGGAATTGCTCCTTAATCGACGTCAGAGGGAAGCGGCGGAAACGGATTTGCTGGTGAAACGAGCGTGAAAGGTAGAGGAAACCTGTCGAGAAACTCTGACCATGGCTTCAAGACGTAAGATGTGCCTTTTTTGTCCTGCCGGGGAAGGGGAAGGGTTAAGAGGATCAGGTTTTTAAGGTATGGTCACGTCAGAACGAATTCAGGTCCAGATTTATTTTGGTCCCTTGGTTCCTTTTGATTTAGCCTTTCTCCAACACTCGCACCGCCTGCTGCGTCTAGAACGAAAATTTAATGCTATCGCCGGGTGGATCGGAACTGGGGTTTTGTGCATGATCTGCTGGCTATCCCTTTTCCGTACGCAAAAATTCACCACGGAATGGGAAATAATAATAATAATAATAACAGATCTCCACAAAAGACAGGAAGATGTGCTTATATAGTTAGTTCGCAAAATATGGGACCCTGTTAGCCCGCTCTAAGCCTCCAGGCTCGACTATTGGGTGGCCCAGGGGGGTGGATGAGACGGAAATAATCAGACCCCATTTTGTTGCTTGTGCAGTTACTGATTCCCGACGGGAAAAGACCCACAGATGTAACCACGTTCTTGATAAACACCTGTAGTTGAAATGAAGTGCCAGCACTGCCGAGTGGACGGAAGCGGAACAGCTGCGTCCACACCAAGGGTCGATCTAGGTCGGTTTTGGTTTGCAAATGTGTTTAGCCGTCTCCACCTAGCGGCGAGAAAGTTTGGGGTGGATGTGCAGATGTCCGCCTACGAAAGCAGAGCCAATCGTTTATTTTGCTGCTAGCGGAAGAATGTTCCAAGCGCATTCGGTTGCACCCGATTTCGTACTTTCTTACATGCATCAGCGATGCCCATTGCATAGCGGCCAACATGGCTCATCACTGGTGCATCCGGTACAACCACAAGCCTTGGCAACCCGCAGGTGGTATGATTCTTCTGGGGAAACTCAGTTGGGGTTATCTGATTCATCCACCGATCTTGGGGGGCATGGTCTTCGATTGAATGGGTCGCGATCTAGATATACTCGGCGGAAGTTCAGGTCGTGTGTTTTATATCGTTTTTCATTTCACGCGCGGAATTATTATGTCTTTCATGACAACTGCGCCGTATTATTTACGCTGTATTTTACCACTCTGCCGGCAAAGACAACTCACACGTCTGATTGGCCCGCTTATTTCTGCGCTAAACTATTCCGACACTATAAGCTATTCCTTTTCTGGAATGAGAGCAAACGCGTCTACCCCGGCTATTTCTTCTTGGCATCGAGATCTCGCTTACCTCACGTTGTTTCTGATATCAAGTTGTTGCGTTGTGTGAGAGATTGAGTTGTTCTCTATATGTAGTTATGTGTCTTTAGAGCTGCTTATGTTGTAGTAGATGATTAACAACTAATGCTAGCAATCACTATCCTAAAGCTTACCGCGCTCTTCGCCGCGGGAGGGAGCCGAGCAGTAGGTGGTTTCCGAGCTCACCCAATTGCTCAATGGCAAGTCAATCTATCAGCCTTGGAGGAAATCTTTTTTATAGGATATACGCTAATGTTTAAACTGGGAGAAATAGCCTCAGCTATTTTGTTTAATAGTATATTTTGAGTTCTCTAAAAGCATGACCGGACTAGAACCATGGAAACCTCATACTCTGCTAAGACAGTGTGTGCTTCACAACAAAACATCAGCAATGGCTGCAAGCCCTTGTGGCGTCAACCAATTGTTGGACTTGCAAATATGACGTGCAATGACTTCATCACGTCTACTGCAACCCCAAACCCGTGCCCCATCCGTCAGCTCCATCCTCTCTTCTCTTCTCCTGAAAACAATTGAACGACTATTCCACGAGCCACTCTGTTTCTCTCTAAAAAAAATAATCATATGCAAAGTCATCATATATATCAAGCAGGGAGTTTTTTGGCCTTCTCTTTTCAACGATACCGCCCCTATATCTGCTACTCTCAGTGTCATCATCAGTTTCCTGTGTTGTGATCTCTTTCCGTTCCTTCCGCTGCAACATCGCCACATATTAAAGCAGTTATAATCATTATTTGATATCTGGGAGCAGTTTGGTGCATCTAATTTAAAAGTGTCAATTCCCCTATCCTTTAGCGATACAACATGCAAAGGGTGAAGTCGCTCGTGTAAGCTCCGTGCAATTTTCGTCTTTGTATAATGCGCGTGCTAACAAAAGGACAGCCATCGTGAGCCGAAGGAGTCCGGAAAGTCTGCATCTCACATTCAAAGAGCGCGCTCGAGAAGGGTATCGGATGCAGTCTTAGCCGGACAAGGGTCCCATTTGGCAGATCTACGATCAAGTGCGGCACCGGAAAAGGTTCAGCCCCGCTATCCTGATGAAGAGGCAGCCTTCGCAAGCCGCCCTTCATCTCCTGAACCGCACCATCGTCGCATTGATTCTGGTGTCGCTGGACTGGAATCGTCACAGCAAGAAAGCAAGGCGCTTGTCAATGGCCCCCCAACTGGCGCTACTGCTGGAGGAACCAGCAGAGGTCAAAATGCTCCACTGCTCAAAGCCAGCATGAGAACCCAGGAGAGATCTACAAGGCCGGGTGGTGTTGCTACTGCGCAAAAGCAACAAATCGGTGCTCGAAAAGTAGGGGTCACCGATGAGATGAAAGCAGCAGCGTCTGCAGCTGCATCTGCCTACTTTCGCCGCATACCTAATGCGCCTGGAGAAACGATGAGGTGTAAGCATTATTGCATCTTTATATAAAGCCATTGCGATCATTTGAGTCCGCTCGTGTTTCTGTCCATTCCTACCTTGTCGCTAACATCCGAACTATAATGAAGCCGGGAAAGCTGTACATCGTTTGAATAAATCTCAAGAGCCTCCCATATCTGCCTGGGGGAAAGGTAGGGAGTGCCGCCCTCTTGCGCATGACCCTTTGGCTGGGGTGCCCTGGAGAGACTCCAGCACCCTTGGTTATTATGCGAACCCTGCTTCCCCGCCTTCCAGAGTACGAAAAAAAGAGCTACAGCGTCTTGCTCAACCTGAGCCCCGCGCTGCAGAGACGGGACAAACTGGGAAAGCTGAGTATGAGCCCGAAAGGTATTCTGGAATGATGAAAGAGCCAGGCACGGAGGAACCCGAGAGACAGTATGAAAGGCCTTTAGGCATGGAAGCTCCCGTAGAGGAGAAGGCGTATGTGGTACCCAGTACTGAAGGCCAAGCGATGCCCCAGGGGGGAGGTCGTCGTCCGCATGAAACAGAGCTTGAGAGACCTACGGGTGAAGGGCTCGAGGTGCCTCTAGAGGCTCCCATGCAACCTACCGCTGTTGGACCTCCACAGTCTGCCCGAGTCCCCCAGCCTGAACATGAGTATGTAACTGCTGAGGAAATTGCCGCCCGCGAAGAAGCAACACGCCGGGCAGTTATAGAAGAGACAACGGCTAAAAGAAAGGCAGCAGAGCAACTTGCTGCGAGGGAGGCTGTTACTCAAGAAGCTGCCACTAGAGAAAATATTGCCCGAGAGACAGCTCAGTATGAGGTCGCAGCCATGGAACAGGCGACCAGGGAGGCGTATGCTAGAGAGAATGCGGCGAGAGAATCCGCAGAGGCAGAATTAGCTGTGCTGGAGGAAGCAACCCGTCAAGCAGTAGCAAGGGAAGCGGCTGCTCGTGACGCTGCAGCTGCAACGATACAATCCACCGAAGCTGCGACCAGAGAAGCAGTTGCAAACGAAACACTTGCGAAACAAACAGTGACAGAAAGAATGTCAACCAAAGAGACGGTCACCAGAGAAGCTGTTGCCAGGGAGGCAGCAGCACGTGAGGCTGCTAATATGGAGGCTGCTATCAAACACGCGAACACACGAGAAGTAGCAGCTGAAGAGGTAGCTGTTAGAGAAGCTGCGTTACGGGAAGGTGGATTCGATGAAGCCATCGCTAGGGATGCTGCACTCAGAGAAGTCGCGGCAGAAGAAGCAGCTGCGATACGTGCTGAAGGAGGTGAAGACTTTATGCAGCAGGAGCCCGGCCCCGGGGATACACTTGGTCGTGAACCTGGTCCTGGATCGGTTGCCGCAGGGGGAGCATTTGCCGAGGGGCCTCCTCCAGAACAGATGGCGACTGGTGGCGCAGCGCCATCTGCCATACCAGCTGATGCAGGTGCCCCTGCGGCCCCCGTGGCTGTGCCAGTCAATCAACCTTCTTCTGCGGAACAAAATCTCGGCGCACAGGTCGAGGAACAACGGCAAGGAGTAGCGCCACCTGCGGGCAGGAGGCCTTCTAATGAAGAGAAGGAACTTGAGAAACAGCGAACAAAGGAGGAGAGGAAGCTTGAAAAGCAGAGAACAAAAGAAGAGAAGAAGCTTGAAAAACAAAGAACCAAGGAAGAGAAGGCTCTGCAGAAACAGAGGACCGAGCAGGAGCAGAAGCTTAAAAGGGAAGGATCTGAAGAAGAAAAATCCCGCCAGACGCAATTAAAAAAGGAACAAAAGGAGACGGAGAGGCAAAAAGTAAAAGCCCAGAAGCAGCTGAAGAAGTCACGGAAGAAGCAGGAAAGGGAAGCCAAGAGGCAAGGCCAGCAAGACAATTCACTGCTGTCCAAGATACGTCGGAGTATACGAGGCGAACGACCAGCTGATTATGGAGTGGAGCGAACTGTCCCCGACAGTGCACCTGCGACTCACACCTGATGCCCCCTAACCGTTGTCACCAGTTGTTATTGAATTTCTTTGATCATGAATTTTATAACATTTTTCCACTTCCCCCCCTTTTCTTTTCCTTTTTTTGTCCATTGTTTTGGTTTCCCCTTGGACCTACGGCCGGTCGTTTCAAAATCGAAGATCACTAAGTAATTTTATTGAAAAAGTATGAATTACTTGGTCAACCGAGTGACGTAATGTGGAGAGGGCAACATTTGGAGCATGTGAACTGTTGATAATATGTTAATATCCAAAGGTTACCGGGGTTAATGTATCTTTATTTCGGTTGGTTATAGCAAAAGGGTCTTGGTTGTGGGAGTTGAGCGGGTTTATCCTCATTATCTCCTCTTTTTCCTTGCAATACCCCCTCTATATATACATATATTGGGACGCTGTTCAAGTTAGGGGCTTTTTGTCGTTAGTCTCTCTTTATTTGTGGTTTAATTCCTTATCTTCATAATTACCTATCCTCGAATTTTTCCCCTGTTTTCAACATAACACGTTCTCTTTGCTCCCTTGGTGGAAAAGTGACTACCTTTTATGTTTAGTCTCCCAATTCTTCTATTTATTTTATTTTTACTTTTATTTCATTTTGAGTCCAGCTTTCTCTAAAGCAACCTCAGAAAAAGCGAGTCCATCAAGCGAAAAAGATTTGCGAGAAAATGTGGAAAGTGAATCGGATGCAGGACACCCCAAATACTGATGCTCATAGTGTTATTGAATATCATAATGTAATATTGTTATATATATGTTTTCATATGTTCTAACACATGTTTCACGTAACTATTTGGGTAAATTGATAGCCCATCTAGTATCTTTGGAAGGAAGAAAGGCTCCCCTTTACATTACGCTCGGTGTTAGGGCATTCTTGACCACGTGATCAGGATTGCCCTAGTTACTACGAAAGCTGTCCACGGGTCTCTCTATATTCATCATGATTGATTCTTTTTAACCAGACCTAAACAACTTTTCTCTGCCCTGAGATTTATGGACCTAGGAACTAGTCGACACGACGTGAAGAAATAAGTATGCGAGCTATCAATTGGAGGCTGATGCAGCTTCCTAGATCCTTTCTACATGGCTACATTCCAGCATTCGCAAACCTAGGCATGTGGTCTTATCATCCGCTCTTGTAAGCTTCTTGTTGGAGCAAAATGCCTCATAGTCACACGTTCATAAATGTATAGTAATGTAGCTTCAAGCCATCTACTCCGTACTGTACATGCCACCCTTCAACTCTCCTCGGAAATCCGCGTCATCTCTGAGCTATTCCTGGTGGTTGGACATGGTGGCTTTAGTTTCTATGAAATAATTTTCCCCTCCTACGCCCGCATCTGCAGTTCATTTAGTATGCAGGGTTTCAACTGGTAGGGATGGACAGGCTTCTCACACTGTGTCTGCAGGGATTTTGGGACATGGTGGGATTTTAATGCTGACTCTAGGAATATCAACCCCTCTCTTTTTGGGCTCTGTTGAATATTTGCCATTTGCATCCAAAATTCTTAACACAAATGCGGAAAATAAGCAATATCTGCGCGCTTTTCTTGCCTCGCTGATAGACTATAGATCAATATACATTCAGATTCTTTGTGACGCAATTGGCCAGTGGTGTTTCTGCCGCTGAAACGAAGCTGCAGTGATCGCGAGGTGAAGAATCTTGTCACTTTCCTTTCAGCCTTCGGCTAGAGAACCAATTCTTTGTCTCCGGATTTATCTTTTACGACCAGGCTTGAAAGTCAACGAGTTGACCATCCACTGGCCGAGTGGGGAGAGGTTCATGCGTCGTGGGTAAACAAAATCGAGAGCACTAATAGAGGAAGCTATCTGAAATTATTGAAAAGGCGCGTCCGAGAGTTCCTTTCTTCTCTTGGCCTCATGTCATTGTCACACCACACCATCGCTTCCTCGGCTTGACACGGATAACTACCTATGTACAAGGAACATAGCTTTCATTGCCCCGCTAAGATAGTATATCCTAGCCCGCACCTACACATCAAGCTCCATGAGCACACCTAGTGTTATTGTTGGCAACCATGGTTCATCTCGCAGCAGTTCGAAGGGAATCAATTCGACCTATCCAGCGCATCGAAACTATTCCCCTTGAGGAGCTGGAGCCTCAGGAGCATGACTTTTATTCCAGCGTCTATGGCTCTCGATTCATAGCGGAGTTGGAGATGCCGGAGAAAGAGATGCCCAGGGAGGTGGCATATAGAATGATTAAGGACGAGTTGAGTCTGAATGGGAATCCAATCTTGAAGTGCGTTATGGTTTTTTCTGCTTTGCATTTACAATGCCCAGTATCTGTTTGGTTTCGTTAGGGTTGAGGAGCGTGACTACAAGGTTTTACTCTCTCTGTCTAGGGGCTTAAAGTGCTGATTTCGGGAAGGTATAGCTTGGCAAGATTTGCTACTACCTACGCTGTGCATGGTAAGAGATCCAAGATATAGCTTATCCAAGCTATAAGGAGAACCCAGATGATCTTGGATATAGTTTCTGCTCGTTTGATCCGGATACTAATATTCTATCTCGAAATACAGGAGGAAGAGGCGGAGAAGCTCATGACTGAATCCTTCAGCAAAAAATTCATCGATTATCAGGAATATCCGCTGTCTGTAGATATCTAGAGCCGCTTCGTCAATATGATCGCTCGCATGTTCAATGCTCCTGGTGAGGGTTCTCAAGGCCACGCCATGGGGCCATCATGTATCGGTTCCTCTGAGGCTATAATGCTGGGTACTCTTGCAATGAAAAAGTGTTGGTAGAACAAGCATAAGGCAGAGGGAAAGGACTTCTCATGCCCAGGTCTGCTGGGAAAGGTGGCTTGATATTTTGAAGTTGAGAAATTCGTCTTTTACACGAGCGATAGATATGTCATTGGCCAGAAGAGGCTGTCAACCTTGTGCATGAGAATACCATTGACATTTGTGCAATTCTAGGAACTACTTATACAGGTCAGTATGAAGACGTACAAGCAATCAACGATTTGATTGTCCAGCGCGGCATCGATTGTCCCATTCATGTCGACGCTCCTAGTACTGGGTTTGTCGCCCCATTTGTCAACCAAACTTGGAATGGGGTTTCAGACTTGAGAAGGTTGTTTCAATAAATGTCTCCGGACCACAAGTATGGCCTTGTATGTGAAATCCCCTCTGCAAATAACACTACATGTCTACCAGTACTAACCAGTCCCCAGGTTTATCCAGGTATTGGATGGGTGGTCTGGCGCTCTCCAGAGTATCTCCTAAAGAGCGGTTCAACATCAATTACCTCGGTGCTGAACAAGCTAGCTTCACCCTAAATTTCTCCAAGGTGCTTCACAAGTCATCAGTCAAACGCGGCTACGTGCCATAATGGTCAACCTCACCCGCACGCGGATTATCTCGGCGCAGCGCTGAAGGAATTAGGTTTCATTTTCATGAGCGATGGTCGTGGACATGGGTTGCCTCTTGCGGCCTTCCGCCTGTCGCCCAAGCAGGGCTTTGAGTTTGGTGAGTTATCGCTCGCACATCAGTTGCGGGAACGCGGCTGGGTAGTGAGAATCGTAGCGTTCCTCTCACCACTCAATTTTGCTAGGTAGGAGTGAAATTTATGGTGATCAACTGATCTACAGTCCTAGTTATGAGTCCAGGATCCTAGCCTGGAGATCTTTTCATAAAGCAACAGTGGTCTCGACTCTCCGCCTCAGGAATTCTGGAAGATGGAACTGCTCTGATTCCAAGTCTGCTGCTGAATGTTATGATTATCCTCGAACTCTTATTCTCCCTCAAAAGGAAAGATTCCAGTACCCCTTTGAATGAGATAGAGTGCCACTTCCAACATCGGTGGCTAGAGGAGGCGAGGTAGAAGGGTGGAAAGGGGGGGTAACAATAAACCGCCCCTTGTCCAGTTTCTATTCTCCATAGCCAGGCATACGATACCTCAGTCTTTTGATTTTCACCCTTCATCCACCTGCAATTTCTTCCTGGCGAATTTCTAGAACAAGGTGTGGACGCCACCTACTCAGTGGCTTGCTTGTTTTATAGTTACAGCGATAACTTCCTCCAGAATATACCTATGAGCAGCGGACCGATGGACTGTGCTCCCATTTTCAGTTGCACGCCAGGGGAAGTTTGATTGTGGGTATTAGTACTCGGTTTTATAGACTAAATATCAGCTGTGCATGAAGGATGCGGTCCCGACAGAGCCAGGAAGCAGAAAACTTGACCTCGCTAAGTGCGCCACTTGACCTCGTTATGTAAGCTGACCTCGCAAATGTGGCCCGTGCCACTACCTGACCTCGCTCAATACATCTTTTCTTGTAATTTGAAACCACTCTTTCTTTCTTAATTATTTACCATCAATTTAATACTGAAATTATTCTTGAATTTAATAATAAAGTAAGTATTTATATAATTTACACTGAATTGATTATTAACTGATTTTCAATCAATTATTAATTACTTAAATATACAGATTGAATTTATTTTATTACTATAATTAATTAACAATTAATTCAGAATCAATTCAAAATCAATTCAAAATCAATTTAATACTGAAATTATTCTTGAATTTAATAATAATACTGAATTGATTATCAACTGATTTTCAATCAATTATTAATTACTTAAATATATAGATTAAATCTATTTTTATTACTATAATCAATTCAGAATCAATTTAAAATCAATTTAAAATCAATTATTAAATATTTTTATCTTGATATATTTTAAAATTCTGTAAAACATCTCTTTATATTCTATATGAATTTATCTGTTTATTTAATTGATTATGAATCAGCTATACATGCTTTGATTGATTGATGAGCTGAATGAATGAGTGGATTGAAAGGTTGAAAGTCAATTACCAACTGATTATTACTGTATTATGCGAGGTCAGGGTCATGATTATGTAACGAGGTCAAGTGGCGCACTTAGCGAGGTCAAGTTTTCTGTATACACCGACAGAGCTGTTGACTGAACCCTACAACTATAGCGGGCTTGGCGCTTATTATTTGTTTGAGATGGAATTCCTGTGCGTCTAGGGTAAGGGAAAAAGGCGGAGGATGGCAAACAAATGCTCACCAAGTGCGATCTCAATCGACAGTTGCGGCTGAAAATTCTTCATAGGGATGAGATTGAGTAAACCAACCTCCACCTCAATTCCCTGGGCTCGCACGTATTTAAATTGGCATGGAGTCTCCATCTTGAGATCTACACTTTCCTTTCCCCAGCTCCCATGCCTTGGGGATCATTTTTTTCTCACTAGTTCGTCTTCTTCACCTCTCTATTTATATCCATAAGCCTGAAACCCCAAATATTACCCCAATAGCCAATACCCCTTCCCTCGCTGACAATTCAGAATGAAGTATCTATCCATCCTTTCTCTGATCTCTCTCGCATCAGCTACTGTGCCTGTTGCCACAGGCGGATATCAGCCCGGCGGACGTGCAGCTTAGGGGAGTAATCTATGGCGGCACGGAGTGTAGCCAAGGAACATTATTCATAAAAATTGATGACCACGGCACCAAGTGCCCCGTCAGGACAAGAGACCTGTATGCCAGGGGCGGTCCAGGGACTTCCCCGAAGGGCCAGCGCAGGTTTTGCCAACTGAACTTTGACCTTGTTTATCCTTGTGGCTGGTCGTTCTCCATCTTTGGAGCTGAGTATAAGGGCCATGTTTCCCTGCATGGGGACTCGACCGCAAGCTTCAAGACCACGTATTATTTCTCTGGAGAGACGGACCAGGTATGGCTTAATTTTTGACCCCCTTTCTAAAAGACTATTCGCACGGGGTGGTGTGAGGGAATGAATCCATCAGTCAATCACCCACTAATGCACATAACACAAAACCATAGGCGACTAGCACAGTTGACTTTAAGGGCCCTACATCCGAGCATTTCTCCAAGCATAATGTGATAGCTTGGGATACCTGGTCGCCCTGTGGCTCGACCCAAACCATGCTCAACGTGAAGCAGGAGGTGAATGTGCACGGGGCGTGTAAACTCGCAAGCATGTCGGTGGATGGACGGTTTGGCCACATTGTGCTCCTCAAGTGGAGGAGGTGTTAGCTTATTTCCACACATAGCCTTTTTGGTGCTGGTGCAGCTAAACATTCGAAGTTATACGGGAAATGGAGAGAGCCGGGGTTCCATCCTTTCTGACTTTGTGATTTCTAAAGGGTATTTGTGCTATTAAACAGTGTTTCATGGAAGGGAGGGAAGACAACCCACTGGTAGTCTGCTTCTGGAGCCATTGTCCATGATTAGTCCCCAGTATCTTCGTCAAAGGGGAAGATAAATAAAATAAAATATGAAATGGCATGAAACGTGGGAAATACGGGGAACAATACACAAATTGCACAATGACAGTGAAGGGGTAAAAGAAAAAACCAGGCTTTTGTTTTATTTCTGACCTCCCCTCGTTTTGAACCGGCCAATAATAACAAAAAGCGAAGTTCGAAACAGAATTTCTTCTTATTTTGATAAGGGAAATCGAGGATATAGCTTATTTACTTCTCGTGGCCAGAATGACTATTTTCCATGGAGGCTTGGCAGCCTGGAGATAAGTAGGAATCTGTATACTTTTCAGGCGCTAGGATAATTAAATCAATGGACGCTAGAAATTTAGACAGTAAAGCGGGTACAGTACATACATTCATGGTACAGTTCGTGGATGATGGATGATTGATGAACCCCCAAAGATTCGGGGCTGGTTTAGGGGCTGCATGCCTGGAGCTCGGCAGCCAGGTTAGGCGTGCAGCCCCTGTAACTTCTGTTCTTGCGAGTCAGATTTATTGAAGGCCCGGTAGGTATTCCTTGTGCGCCCCAGCAGTTTTGTTGCAAACCACACTGAGCTCAACACAAACACGAACGGCCAACTTCGAAGAAACTCCATGTTTCAAATTGTCCGACTGGATGCTATTGTCCCTTTCAAAGCATCACTTGCTCTTTCAACCCATTGTCTTGCAGTTTCTTTGATGAGGAGAAGGTTGAGAAATGTTGGCTTTTGGCGGTGAGACCACGGTTCTCTCCATGCTTCATGGAGAACAGAGAATACAATATGTTCCCTTTGCAGACTTGGAGTAACTAATAAGTTACTCCTTTTTTCAGATGATGGCGAAAGCGCTCGCTCACAATCTATCACGCCCTAGCTCGTGGCTAGCACATTTGCACTCGAGACCAGCTATCAGAACACTATCAAATTGCCTCTCTCTCTGCGTTGCTCAAATGCGAATAACAGGGACGGACACATCTTTGCTTCCGCCTCTTACCTCTAGGCACGGATGACGTAGTTAGTAGTTAACTACTATCGTGCATGTTCTTGGACGCCTATCTGGCCTCGAATTTTCGAAATCTCTACAGTCTAGGCCGGGCTTGATCGAGTGAGAACATCCCCAACGACAACTTAGCGTTTGCGGCAGGAATGCCAGTTGCTTGCATAAATTGCTTCAAGATTTCATGATGGAGCCCGGCGGGCAATCAACAGTCTGGTTAAACTGTCTTATCAGCGGTCGAGTAAAGGTTTTTCTTCACCACCTCGACAAAGAATCAGGAGATGTTATTTGACTCCTGAAAGTGACCTCTGCACTTTTTTCTTGAATCATGACTTGAGCACGTCTATGTAATAATAATGTACATGTACAGTAGTGTAGTGGCAAGTCAGTGTACCAGGCCAGGGGCTCCGGGGCTGAGAATATAAATATCAACCCCCTCCCTCTATTTATTAAATAAAATCTCAACCAAGTATATAATATGGCTTTAGATACATGATTTGAATAGCTAGATCAATAAAGAATAATATAATCTTTAATATATTTCTCAAAATTTATTTAGATATGTGATGAAATGAAAATCAGTTGAGATTTGGAATCTCAGTTTATACCTAGGTAGCAGCTCATACACTCACTGATTATGTCTTTTTAATCTGAAGAGCCCAGACCCGGCGGCTCAATAACCATGACAGTTGAATAGAGAATGAAAGAAATTATTCCTATTCGCTGAGAGAAATAAAATAATATTAATCGTGAGTCTCTAAGAGAGTTTAGAAACTGTTCGGAATATTTTTTGAAACTTTTATTCTGCTTCTTTCTTGTTTTTTCACAGTAGATAATTAGAGCAGGGCAGTTTCAAAGTCTGAGTAATAGGTAAACTTAAAATAATATTGATAATAGCTGAAGAATTCTCTTCACACAATGTTCTTGATTTGAAAGGCATATTTTGATCCATAGAGTGGATGTTGAGTGGTGGAGAAATCAAGGAAGAAGAGGGGGTAAGTTATATGAGAGATGTTATCAGTTTGAGTTAGTTACTGACAGGTTTTCATTCTATTCTTTGGAATAAATCGTCGTCTATCTGCATTCCCTCCCGTCACCAAAAAAAAAAAAAAAAAAAAAAAAAAAAAGAAAAGGGAAAGGAAAAACCCTTCAGTGGTTACAAATTTACCGCCGAAGAGCTTTCCCCAGTGATTCCCTAGTTACTAGACAACCCCATATTCGTTTGGACTACGGAGTATGAAGTTAAACTCGACCAAGCTTCTTTATTTTCAGCGAGGATGTTGAATCCCAGAAGGTATCCGCCTACGGCGCCCCCATACTACTTTCTCATATTTTAAGATTAAAAAAATCCACATATAGAGGCATTTGCCGAGTGCAATACAATACGCGCGCGCCCATGGCGGCCAGATCCAAGATGTTGCCAACAGATAGATGGGTGGTTTGCCTCAAAGGGATTTCTGTCAAGGTGAGATGAAACAGTCAACTCCTTGAATGAATGCCGTTGTCCACTGAGCCTCTTCATCGGATATTTCTTGTTAAAAGCTGTTTCAACTTCAAAAGGCTTTTAACATGCTTCACCCGACCTTGCCATGAACTGGCTGGTCGATTCTATGTATTATGACCTATATTTTTTTTCTTCATCATTGTTGCTGAAACAATAACAATGTATTAGTTCTCCCTTTATATTTTTTATTGAATTTTATTTATTTACTGACTGACTGATTGATTCATTATTCTTTTTTTAAATCATGTATCAACTTCGATATAATCACCGCTTTCCCGGTATGCTTATACTACTTAAATCCCTCGAGCTCTGTTCGCACGCGCAGAACGAAGAATCCAGAACCCAAAGCCCAGAACCCGCAGCACGGCGCACAGAGCATACGCAGCATCATACCTCTATTTCTTAACTTCTCCCCACCCCGACTTCTTTTTCTTTTCTTTTCTTAATCTGCTTTTCTATCTTTGTGGACCAATGGGTAGAAAGGTACCGATGTGGGACTCATCGTATCCCAAATTTAAAATTGACCATTTAAAAGGGCCAGGAGACCCCACCAAGCTCTATAACAAAACATTAGAAGATTATACCTCAAAAGCCTCTCCCTCGGAAAATCTTGAAAAGTTGTTCAAGCACTACGGATGGGGCTTTGAGTATTCATTAGCCCAGCATGAGGATGAGGCGGTATTTCGACACCTCGTCAAGATTGTTTATTATATGCGAGACGATTTGAAGCCCAGTCAAGAGGACTTCGAGAAATGCAACTCAGATGCAGGCCCTGGCCTTCTACGACCAGAGTGTTCTGCATTACCATTTTCCCTTGACCACCCCCCTCCGGCTAACAATGTACCAATGGAATATTTTCGAAAAGCCATATTCCATTTCCCTTATCAGAGCCTTGAACGATGCCCATCCGCGTTTCCAATCTTGCCAAATGCGTCGGAGAATCATCGCATTAAGCACACTCAGCGAAGGGCTATGGACAATCGCTTGCATGGCCAGGGCGCGGCTGAAGATGAACATCTTGACGATATTCTAGACTGCACGATTGCCGCTGCATACTTGCTTGATGCTGGTTGCACGAAAGCCGACCGGACACCATTGAACTGGCATTCGACACTTAAAGACCAGGCGAAATGGTTCCTGGAGTTGATTTATCTAGATTGGGGATGTGACTCAGATTACCATACACTCAAGCGAACCCCAAAGTTGTCACCAGAAGCTCGATTCGAACAAGTAGCAACAGTCAAGCACAATATTACTGAGATGCTAGGGCAAGATGTGATTTATAAGAGGAAGTACAAGGACAGGCTTATTGCGGCGATATGGGAGGGCTGTACTAGCTCTTTTCATCAATTTCTTGTTCGATACACCCATAAGCCTCTCCACGAAGGAGGGATTGAAATGCCATCGTCCACTGGGTGCATACCACTCAGTGGTATCAGCACGGACACAACGGAAAATACCATCCAGGCACAAATGGCCCGCTTTTTCGAAGAATTATATGTGACGAAATGTTACTGTAATTTATCAGGGCTCGAAATGGCCCCAGTCTCCACCCATCAGCTTCAACGCAGGTTTCATGAGCTACCATTGCGATTGGCGTTTGTGACAGACCCTAAAACACCGCCGACTTCTCACACCGCCACGGAAGTCACCATCGAATATTACGACTGGAAGTGCCAGCGAAGGAGAGCGAAATACCGATGGTTGGGTGGAATATACCCAATCATGAGTGGCAACTCTTTCCAATACGTCCTCTTCTGGAGTGACTACAAGCGACATGAAAAGGTTGATGAGAGAAATCTGCGAAGGTATGCTCCGCGGGAGTGCGACTGGCAGATCAAAATGGAGTCTTTTAAATATCCAGAACAATCGGAGCGTGTTCCATTATCAGGGTGGCAAAGTGGGCAACCCGCGCTCCTCTTCTATGAAAAGATCCTTGTACCTGAAGAAATAAATCTGAGAGGAGTCCTGCAAGCTGCGAAACATGTGGTATCCTCCTGTCAAGATTCTGTAATTAAGCATGGAGAAATTCAATACCCTCCCGGAAGCAGTTCTCAAACTATTGGCGTCCCTGCCGCCAGCCCACAGCGAGGAATTAAACATTCCACAGGCTATCCCAAAGCCGCAATATCTTCTCAGCCTACGAACCCACAGATCATCCCCCCTCCCAAGCAGCCAGGCCCAACCAAGAGAGGGCCTCCGGAGGGTTCGAGAGCCCAACCCGCTAAGGCAACAAGGGCTCTTCAATATGGAGACGAAGCCTTGCAATACCCGGGAGATTCTGGACCGCCTCGACAAGGCATACAGGCAGCACCAGAACCCCTTTCACACGTGAGTTCTCACAATCGTAGTGGCTATCAGCGGTTACCACAACCACACGAGGACCAAGTAGATCGACCCTCCATGCCTAGGGCTCAAATGCCACCTCCTCCAGACTATCTTGGTGACGCCGCAAACATTGGCCCAGAGTTTGGTCGCCCGAATGAGAATGTAGAATTTGCAAGCCCGTTGAAACCTCTCTCTCCAGAATACATGCCGGACTCATCACGAGTTCCCATAAGCCAGGCGCTCGAGCACGGGGAAGTTCTAGACCCCCTATTTCCGGGAATGCCTTCTGACCCTCTAGACCCTCACGGTTTAGGGCTTTCCGTAGATGACCCCCCAATGTAGGTAGCCACCCTTCCACCATAATTGTCGAATCTGTCTAGCTAACGGATCGCCGGAAAAGGTCACCCTTCTTTACCAATTATACACAACCGATGCCAGGAATGTCTCCACAGCCGGGCCACGCCCAGCCAAGTCCTGAGCATGCAGGCGGGCAGCAGACTTTTAGTTCCCAGCCAGCATCGGCAATTCCGCCGTTACCAGACATCGGCCCTACCACGTACGCCTTTCCGCTTGAAAATTATTTCGCAGGCGGGAGACTACCATCATCCCAACAAGTCCAAGGGGAAGAAACCTTTAGTCCACTCCAAGAGCTCTTCGATATGTATCCGGATGAAGCTCTGCTTCCCCAAGGACCTGGAACAAGTAGAGGACCCGCGAAGCGTAAGGAACCACCAGAATATGAAGCCGAAGAATCCGGCCCGCGTGAAAAAAGACAGAGAAGGGGAAAGAGCCTGAAAAGAAAATGAAAAGAAGAACCATAGAAAGACAAAAAATTAAGAAGAGATCTGCCTGCTTATTGGTCTCCAGGTCAGGTCCGTCTGCGATGAGGGTTTATCCTCTCTGTCCATGTTTCCTATATATGATGTTTTCCGATATAGTCCATTTTCCTGCCGTATGGTTTGTTCCAGGCAGATTCGTCATTTTTTCCTCTAAGTTTTCTATTTCCTTTATCTTTTTATTTTCGCATTTTGGGCTTGTTCTCCTTATACGCTTGTTAAACTTTTATGCGTGCGTCTCTAGTAGTTGTTCTAGGGAATGGCAATTTTAAATTTGGCGGCCAATTGGACGTAGCATCGGGAACAACATCCTCGGATTTCCCCTCCAACTTCAACTGCCATTTATTATATTATTTTATTTCTTCTCTAGACAACCTTTGATGGACTACATGCCCGCTCTACCATGACCAGAGTCTTCCATTTTAGCATGGTTTCCAAGGAGCCTCATCGAATAACTGCAGCAAAAAAAGTAAATCTATACTGGTATTTCTTAAGGCGAATAAAATTATGATACTTAACTAGGCTAGCGAAGATCCATATTTTGAGCTTAGCGATGATTTCTCCGCATTTTTAATTCATTCCCGCGGCTGAAAGGAACAGGGTATCAATAAGAAATACGGGATGATTCCCCTGTAAACTAGCTTTGATTGTCTTCTTATATTTTCTACTTCCTTGTCTATTTGGTTTTTTTCTTTTTCCGTGATTTCTTCACAACACCTAACCCTCTATTTCCTTTGTTAAGGGTACATACAGCTCATGGGAACTCTCCTTTCAGGCTGGTCAACTAATATATGGAGTGTTTTAAGAGAGGTGTTATATTGAGTCTATCTTCTATACAGTTTCTATCATGACACTTCGCAAAATATAACGCTAATTATGCTTTTGCAAAAGGACAAACAAAAGAAATCGCAGCACGACAAGGAGGCGGCGACAAAAAGCAAAGATACTTAACCAGGAGGTAAGAGTTGTGCTAAAGAAAAGAAAAAAGAGGAATCACAACCTCGCGCGTGGCGTATCAGACTTCTTCGGTGCAGAAACATAGCCACCCAGCTTGTTATCGGTATTGGTAATATTTCCCTGAGCATCCCGCTTGATACCCAACTCCAGCAACTTGGCAAACACCTTGGAAAAGTGGTCAAAGAACAGTTCCTTATCCTCTGCATACACGAACACCCATTTCGCAAACTCCACGTCTGACAACAGCGCCATGTCCGTCGGCAACATCATCAGCGGCTCCTCATCCTCCATGTCCGGATCCACATAGTTGAACTGCTTGACTCCATTCGACAGCGTCGTTGGCTTCCATTCCAGTGACTTCAACAGCTTGAAATACTGATTCGAGAAGCGCGTTGGGTTGTGCACCCACGGGCCCTCGAAACCGCTGCGGTTCTTATGTGTGCGTCCCAGCGTGTGGGCACCCGAGAGCGCGACAATTTCCTGGTCGTTGAAGCCCATGCGGTAGAAGATGTGGCGGAGGTGGTCGCTGCCCTGCGTGGCGTCTGGTAGGCGGCCCCGGGGTGGTATTTTGGAGTCATCGACGAAATCAGTCCGGCCGGGCTTCCAGGGGACGTCGGGACCGCCCATGGCTTTGATGGCGACTACGCCCGCTAGTGTCCAGAGGTCTGAGTATGTGATCCAGGGATGTCTTTTCTTGATGGGTTCGAGGAATGTGCGGGCGTGTTCGAGGCCGGCGTTGGCGGGATCCCCGCCTTTCGCCTTCATAGCGCATCCCAGCGCCATTGGAGCCGCCTGTGTCGGTCTCCTTGTCATAGGTGCCGGATGAGTGCCTGGATGAAGAGCAAAAGCCAGTTAGATATCGTGATGGGTGGGAAGAACCAGCACTCTGAGTAAGGACATTCTTACCAGGCTAGACGGACAAAGACAGGACCAGCGCTACCGTCGTCATATCCCGGCTTCTTCATCTCTGCGATGATATCCTTGCGGACAGCATCGAAATCTCCCATCTTACTCATTGTTGTGGATGTGAACACTGTTGGAAAGTACGGGGGAGGTGTATTATGAATAATGATATGTTTAGAAGGTATTTGAAATATCACCTAGACCAAAGAATGAAATTTGAAATTATGGTTTGATATATTTGATGAAGAAAGGGAAAAAGAAAGAAAGGAATGTGAGAATGAGATGACAGGACGACGAAATCTTCTTCTATGACAGGCGTTAACCAAGCTATATTACCTAGGTACAACTTCACATGGCAAAACACCGGCCGAGAAAAACAGAGAAAGCTTGTTGATATATGATACGGAAGCTCTGCAATTGCTTCAACCCGATATAATACCCCATTGCTCCACCCGGTTCCTCCTGGTGTTGATTATTTGACTGCAGCGGTTCTCGTATGTGTTGTGTGATAGCCAGCTTCAGTCTCTTCCCAATGCATTGAGAGGTTGGATGTTTTCATTCTATTATTCCCTCCTTATTTTCCTATTTTTTATTTTGCTTTCCAACTCGCAATGACGAAATGACGGGTACAATCTTTTTTTTTTTTTGCCTTCGGGAATTTTCTAGCGCACGACAACCACCGAACCAATCAGAGCGCAGCATTTGCGGGAAACGGAGTAACTACCTCGGTATTCGCTCGATTATATAAGCTACGGGTGCGAATTCACGTTGGATCTACAGCAACAACCTTGGAAGACATCACAAGATTGGAATGCACACTGCAGACGCAGAGTTGCTGAAAACAGATGCAGATATATGAGAGATGATGCACCAAGGGAATTGCGCTGACTACTTATAAGAAAGACACTGTGCTCAATGCGCTAGTGGGCTGATCGCAACCGGAATTTCCTCGAAGCGCATGGACAAACCGCCTCCTAGAGGCAGTGATAGCAACAACACTCAATCAATGATCAGATACTACATACATGCTCGCTCCTATACCCCTACCCTTTACTAGAACTATCCAAGCCCATCACATCTCAACCCCCTAAGCTGTTGCTCAAGCGTCTCCACCCTCGTGCTCAACTCCCGTACCGCCAAATCCGCCCCCTCTACCACCCTGCGAATCTCCTCACGATACCTCCCCGCAGTCTCCTCGATCTGCCTATCCCGTTCCCCCAGCATCTTCTTCATCTCCTCAATTTGTTTATCCTGCTCCTCCAGCTCCCTCTCCAGTCGCTTCGTATGTCGCCTCCCCACCACGTTCACCTTATCAATTAGATCGTAGATGGGCGCGATCTGTTCTATGCTGAGGTTTTCGGCCGCTGCTTGCTTGGCGATGTAGATTATTGAAGCGGTGAGGTCATTGGCTACTGCGGCTATGCGGCGGGTCTTTTCGGATGGGGAGAACGTTTCGATGCCTGTTAGGCTAAGAGCGTTAGACATAAGTAGGTAGGCCGGCTCGTCGGTGAAGTATGGTAATTTTTTATTTGTTATCTTTTCCTTTTCCTTTCTGTTCCTTAAAAAAAAAAAAAAAAAAAAAAAAAAAAAAAAAAAAGCCTAGTTATTTTATTATTTTGGCGGTTGGTGCCGTGATTCTTGCCTGGAGGATGAGTGGAATAAAACCTTGTTAGGGTCCCTCCATTAGCTGCCCTGTCTTTCAAGTGGAATGTTAGGTTTTATATATTTTCAGACGGGGCCTCCAAATGGCTACAACATGGCTAGGAAGAAGGGGAAACAAGAAGCTTCCCTTTTACGCAGTAGTATGCAGATGAAAGTTGCACAAACCCGGACAGCTGAAAGAAAGACATTGGTATTAGTATTTTTGGATAGCTGCAGAGTAGAGGCAGAGATGAACTCACTTTTTGGAAAATGCAGAAAAAAATTAAAAATAAAAATAAACCCCAGGCTGATATCTGCCTGTTCTTGCTACACTACTGCCATGCCTAATACACATTATATGAACTTATTCGCTACAATAGCTATTTGTTCAATCTGACCAGCGCCTAGAATATAGAAAAAGAGAATTCATGCAGATGATGGTCTGTTTTAAAGTGATATTCTGCCATCGGAAGGGCTTGAGAAAGCTCTCTGAGTCTTGCCTTGATGTATAGATCCAGAACAGGAGGTCTAGATCAATCTATTGGATGGAACTGTGAGAATGTTGACACTTTGCCAAAAGTAGCTTAGCGCATGTCATGATGTCATATCTTTGATATCTTCACTCACTCTCCAGTAACAACATCTAAAGGGAGTAGATGCACATGTTCTCCCAGACATAGACACATGTAGGGAATATAGGATTGTGTTTTTCAAGTGGAGTCTTATTAAGCTGAGCATCTTTTTCTACATTCATCTATTAATTAACCGTACACCTATAAGTCCTGGGAAGAATGTCATGTATCCACCACTCTTTCATAACAACAAAGACTGATCATTTCAATCATGTTGTCCAGTTCATGAGTGGTGTGTATTTCTTCTTCTTCTTTTGGGTACTCCATAAATGATTACCTCACGCCATAAATTGGGTTCACATTTGAACCCTGAAGCCAGAAGCAGTCGTTACCATTTCCATCGATGAAACGTCCGTCACCAATCGCCCCAGGCTCATGCGCTCCCCATTCTCGTTGGTCACGGTTCCTGGCTTCGCGCCACTCTCCCTTGCCGTACCGCCGCTTCCAGGGCGCAGCTCTGAATCTCATTGCCTTTCTTGAACTCTGGTTAGACACCAACAAGGTAGTGAACAATTTCTGGTTCAGCCGCGCACACAGCGTGGGTACACATACAATGTATGCCTGTGCCGAAGGTAGCGAGGATCCTTACTGTGGGCTTCTGAGACCATTTCATGACCCACTTTAGATTGGAATCTAGTTCTTCGTCTTGTAGACATGCCCCGGCTTCAAGGAGGAGCTCCACAATGTCTTAAGTCATGCATCGGCCTCGCCAGGGCTTTCTCCAGGGGAGTGAAGGGTTTACCGACTTGTGGATCAACACCTGCACATAGCAGGGTGCGAATTGTATCATTTAGCTTCTTTGAATGGTGAAATGGATCAATACATGAACTGAGTGAGGGCAACAAGAGAGCAGAGTTCAATTGTAGAGGCCGCATTCGCAGAGCTTGGAAACAGATCCTCCAGCATCGATTAGAAGTTGGAGAACGGCAGCCTCATGTGTCTCTGCCACACTGAAGACTGGAGACTCCATCATGGAGTTGGATGGGGTTATTTCCGCTCCATGTTCAGTAAGGAGACGTGCCACTTTCACACTCCCAAAGTGGGCAGCGACCCTCAGGGCCGTGCATGTCAAAGTATCCTCTTGCAAAATAGGGACTCCATTATATAGAGCAATTTTTGCCAGCCTTACACAGTCATGATGCACTGCCAAATGCAAGACAGACGAACGTAGGCAAGAATGTGGAGGCCGGGAACTACAATGGTATAAATACCCCTTTACCAGCGAAATCTAGGCAGTAGCCCGACGAAAACAATCTCGATCTAACACATTTTGCAAGTCTCATGAGGTGTACATGAGAGTGATAAAATCCCGCCCATCAAGAAATCTTGCGATGTTAAGTGTCACAAAATATATCTCATCAGCAAAATCCACAGGGCCTCAAAGCATCATCAGGGAGGAAACAGCCACCAGCTGAAGACATGTTTGGATTCAATCATGACAGTCAAGGAACCTTTGGAGCCTTTTGTTAATCATACCAGAGAGGTATGTGGTGCAGCACATGGACTCACTTCACACTCATTGGATCTAGCAAGAAGAAAACTTATATAGCTGTCAGTTCCATGCTTTATTTTTTTTCCCCCTGGACTATGCAGGAGTAGCCCTTTGAATAAAAGTTGCTGCTGAACAGCTTTTACGAGATTGATGCCATCACCAACCTGTCTGGTTCTAGCAGACTGTGCTTGATCTTTATCCCGCCTGAGTGTTGGATGGAGACACAAAGCGCCTCTCCTCACCCGGGCGATAAAGACTGTTTCCTTGCTCCAGACGGACCACTAGGTAGATCGAGATCGGTCAGAAAGTCGACTATTTACTCCAGACTATTTTGGCAGATTCAACACTTAACCGTGAGCCAGGCTATTTGCGCCCGGCTAAAATTTACAACGCTCTCTGACGAAGGGATTTTACCGCCGCCACACCAAAAGGATCAACCCTTCTGCTGGGGGCGACCCTCTTGAGTATTTATTATTGCATGCGCATGTATGTCTGACAAAATGATATCCATGCTGCGTCATGTTATTAGCTGTGGGAGGTATACCGCACGTAATATGTCGCCGATCAAGAGAGAAGACTCGAAGAGCCATCGACCATCTCTCGAACGATGTAAATATCATGTTATTTATTTATAACAGTCTCAGCCGCAGATATTCGGCGATCAGAGGAGTCAGCCCGACAAGCACCAGTTCTCTACATTACTATAGTCTGTTGCCTTTTTATTCTGGAGTCAACGGTGAAGCAACACATGCTCATCCATTCCTATACATCCCTCCTGGACCTACGTGTCTACCATCTACCAACCGCCTTCTTAAAATATTCTAGTACACATCTCTACAATGCTGTCCCTCGCATACCTCCCAACAGACATCCTCTCGCTGCTCCCCCTCTATATTGACAACATTGAAACATTTATCAGCGCCTCCAGCACCTGCCGCAGGCTCCGCTCGGTCTTCTCCAGCACCCTCCCACAGACAATCTTCCAGCTAGCCGCCGCCTCTGCCCCGACATTCTTTTCCCCGCACCCACACTTCCTCGTTATGGCCGTGGCCCCGCAACTCCGCGACTGGGCCCTGGGTAGTGAGAAGAATAGTAGCTGTCTCTGCGCGGCCTTTCAGGGCGGCATCGAGGGCCTGTACGACTTCTGTGTGAGTGATAATAGCCTCAAGGCCAGGCTCACCCTGGACAGGATTAGAAGGCTCTATGAAGCCCGCTTCACTATCCTCAACCCGTTCACGGATAAAATCGACAAAATGGCCGGCAAGCAATGGTACGATACGAAGGACTTTTGGGACGGCGGTGTCAGTGAGCCTGCTACCGTCGACATGGAGGCGCACCGCGCTGCGATGCAGATCATCATTTACGGCGAGCTGTTTGGGAGTAGCATGCGACCATTTCTGGAGCCAAGAGCTAGTAGGCAGGAAGGGCCGGATTCGGATTCGGATCTGGATTCACCTCTCCCATATTTTGACTTGCAAACTCGGCTCAACTATATCAAATATTGTGTCCCCGAATGGGTATGCCGGAGTTACCCGGGGTTTCAGATATTGCCTGTGGGCCCTTATGCGCTGGAGAACAGGGACGATTTGCCCGCGGATCAGTACGCACTGCGACATATCTTGACGTGCCGACGGTGGCGGCGCATGTGGGCAGATGCAATGGCTATGGTAGGCCCGCTCTTTGCGGAGTGGGATGCGGAGCGAGGCCCCTTTGAGAGGGCCCAAGCGGGTGGTGAAGTTGAAGGGGTGTGGAGATTGAAATTGTTCAGAGATGCACTGCAGACAATGGGGCTTGAGGGGATGCAGCTGGTCACTCTGCCGCAGAAGAAAATTGCTCCGGAGCTCTTAGAGAAAGCATGTAGGATGCGAGAGCAGATTGCGGCGTTGGAGGCGCCTCCTCCGGTGTATATTGTGGGCGATCGTTTGAGGGCTAAGGTTTCGAAGGCACCCGATCCGGCGCAGGATGTTTATGTTTGCATGGCGCCGTATTGGTTTGGGGTTGGTGCAAGGTCGGACGAGGGCAGTTAACCAGCAGGAAGCTCAGCTTTCAGGGGGGCGGGGGTCATTAATAGAAAGTATACCTTGCAATGACTGATAAAACTTCTGCTCCGCTCTATGGTTGTCTGGCATGATTCACATTTATGTTCCGCTTGGGGATTACGGAATTCCCTCTAATAATAGAATTTTTCTTATTAAGAGTGTTCAGTTACTCCTCACGATGTTTCTGCTCGATTACTATTTCGAAAGATTAAGGGTATAATATCTTGACAATGTCAATATAAAATATGGGGCTTTCGTCAATATGCCTCGCGTTTACACATGGCTATACATATTCCGGCGGGCAAACACGAGCTAATTGGGTTGAACTGCAGAATACATGTGGATATTATTATCGGGCACTTCATTACAATAAATATATACACATATATATCCGATCATTTAGCCAAGTAGCAGGTCATTTTCCATGCTTCCCCATTGTGAGAATCGGTATCAAACAAACATCGTAAAACCATTCCCCACGGCAAAAATATTTAAACCAACCCCGCATCCCGAGGTTGTTTTTCCTCTTAATATATTTACACACCCGCAAATGTCTGTACTACTATGCATATATGTAATGTACATGACAGTAAGATTTAAGTTTCCATCGACCACTCATTAGAATCCTGTCATCTCCTGCAGCGACAGCAACATAGATTCTTGGCGCGTACAACCTACTCAATCGCAAACATACTAACCCCCGCACGAAACCCGCGATGCCCTCCTCCCCCCTCCCCAGCATCCTCTGCCTCCACGGCTCAGGCACATCCGCCGCCATCTTCAAAATCCAAACCATCCGCCTCCGCCGCGAACTCCAACACCACTTCTCCTTCGTCTTCATCGACGCCCCCTTCGAGACTGAGCCTGGCCCGGGTGTCCTGCCCGTCTTCGCTGATGCCGGTCCCTACTTTACCTGGGTAGATCTCGCTTCCCTACCCGCTTCGCAGCGCTCGCTCGCTAGCACGGATGACACTGGGGGGAAGAAATTAACGGCGCTGCAGAGGAGTATCCTCCGCGGCCGCACGCAGCCGATGCCGGCGCGCACGGTGGAATTGCTGGAGAAGACGATGCGCGAACAGGTTGAGCGGGATGGGAGGGGGTTTGTGGGGATCATTGGCTTCTCTATGGGGGGCAGGATGGCGGCTGGGCTGCTTTTGGAGCAGCAGCTGCGCTTGAACTCTGGGAATGCGGATGGGAATGGGGATGCGAACGGGAATGGGAACGGGAACGAGAACGGCGTCGAGGGGCATGGGTTTAAATTCGGAGTGTTCATATGCGCGACATCGCCGCCGATAACGAAACTACATGATCTCCTCGACCATGAAAGTGGGGATGGGAAGGGTGACAAAATCGCGCTGCCTCAGATCGATATCCCCACGCTACATATACTGGGTAACAAGGACCCTTGGGTGGACCCCGGGGAGCTATTGGCTACTACTCACTTCAGTTCCGCGAAGAGAACGGTTCGCAGGCTAGATATGGGCCATCATCTCCCGGCCCAGCAGAAGGATAATATGCAATTGGTCGAGGGGATATTGGATATGGCGAAAGAGGTGGGGGTATTATAACATGTTAGATGGGCTTACACTGTTTTAGTTACCTCTAATTTTTTCTTCCTTCCCCCCTCCCCCCTTGTCCCATAGACGATTCCCCATTGTCAGGTGTGTGCGTTTTAATGGTCGTATAGATCTCCTACTGCAGGCTGAGAGGGATATACTAGAGTTAAACTAGGCCTACGTACGGAGTACACCTGTATAGATTTGGGACGTTTGCAGATAGAGGCTCGGGATGATGGACAAAGAATGAGCATTGTCAGGGCTATGCTATTGCATCTTATTTCGGGTATTCTCCGAATTTTTGTATGACTATCATCATTGACCTGCGACACATCGGCTTAAATCAACTTACCTAGCTAAAACTCCAGTAAAATAGCTTAGAGGAAGTGATGTACGGTTATGTACTCAGTAAAATGTTTTTGTAGCACACAAGCCTTGGTGTGCTAATTATTGCAGAGCTAGTCTGCATTAGGAAACAGCAATTCTACAGACAGACTGCAATATAGTAGAATTGAATATTTTCATCATCATCATCATCATTCTTCCCTGTAAATCATTAATTTGATTGCTTCATAGTAACTAATTTTTTTAAAAAATAATATCTGCACCGCCTGACCTGTAAGCTATCTAATTATCTTTGATAAATTCAACAGTCATTTCTAAGAGATGCTGAACATGGTTCAATTTTCCCTGAAGAGAGGTGTTCTTGTGATGTAGATATTCAATCTCAACTTCTTTGACATCAAGTAACTCAACACTATTGTCTCTGACATGATATTTAGCAGAGTGATCTGGGGCTGTAACAGCAGCAGTGAGTTATTTATAGAGAGAGAAATTCTACTTAATAACTACAGTGAGCTTCTTTTTCTTCTTCTTTCTTTTCTTCATCTCTGTCTTCTTCTTTATCTTCTTCTTCTTCTTCTTCTTCTTAAGATTGATAATTCAGTTGTCTAATTGTATATCAGCTTATTACTAATTTACACTTGAATTCATAGTATAGACTTACTTAAATAATAGAAGTAACAGCTTCTTATACTGCTATAGTGACAGCTGACACACATATCTTGATAATAGTCTTGAAGATCAATATAACTTATAAATAAGTCTTCATCTCAGATGCAGTGATTGCTAGACTGACCGCCAGAACTATGAATTTCATATTTGATCTCATTTGATCTGATCTCATACATTTCTTGGCGTGAATCCCACTGGGACTGGCTATCAAAAAAACATGTAAAGTGACTATATATCAGATCTTAAAATGAAACCATGACTTGAAAAAAATGAGAAAGTGATTTTATTTGATCTCATTTAGTCTCATTCTTGATATAAAGTTACTATTTTTAGACATTTTAAGGTTTTTTTTAGACTATTGTTAATTTTTTAAAAAGTAACACTTTTTAATAATACTTAAATGAGATTTAAAGTCATTTAAAGTAATAAAAATAATTTAAATTGAGAAGTGAAAATCATGATCTTATTTAAAAAATGTGATAAGAGTAGACAGTAAGTCTCACTGAGACAGTATGAGACTACTATCTAATGTTAAAACTGTGTAATGAAATCAGTTAAATTAGTAATGAAACTATTAAAAAATCTAGTTCTGGTTTCAGACACAGTCACACAGTCAGTCTATCTATACACACTGAAGAAAGAGATGAGAGTGAGAAAGCTATAATAGAAGCTATAATAAGCTGTAGATAATTAGTAAAGTAATAATAAATCTTAGTAATTATCACTTATATGTTATAATTCACATCTCTCTGCATTCAAACATCTCATTTTCATTGTATTGAATTTATCTTTGTGAAATCTGTGAGAATTAAATGTCTTTTCAAAGAGTAATTCTTGATAGAACTTCATCTGTAAGATAGTAACATAAGTCAAGTCAGCTGCAAAGTTCTTCTTGATAATATTCAGAACAATCTTATTAAGTGATAGATCTTGAAATTTATAAACTGTAATAATATAGACAAGAGTTATGAGAAATTGTATATAAGTACAGACAAGATTTTCAAGAGTGAATTTATAATAGATATAAAAGATAGAAATAAGTCTGCAGCTGTTGAATTGTACATATATTAAGCTATTATACTTATTAAATTTCATGAGTAGTGTAAAGAGACTCTTCTCTTGAGAATTAGTAATTTACAGACTTTATATAATATTATGAATATAACTCAGAGCTTCATTAATCAACTCACATTCTATTCAGATATTGATAGTAAGCATGATCTGACAGTTAATGAATAATGAAAGAAGTTAATATAGATTATCTATTATATCTGAAGATAATTCTGCATTTTTCATAATACTGTTATCTGCATAGATATTAATAACAGATTGACAAGATTTTATAATAGTATGAAGATTGTAGACATGAACTGCATTCTTTATTAAATAGAGTTAAATAGTATTCACAAAATGAGATACTTGATAAGAAATAACTGTCTGAATATAATTAGTAAGAAACTTTTAATTCTCTATAATCATCTTTTTCTCATGAAGACTATTAAAAACTTGACAGAATCTGACTATCTCTGAATCTGTAAGAAATCCCGCTTCTCACGGATTCTTTACCTCTATTTCTATCTCTTGTGTAATCAATAGGGCTAGCAGCCCTTGGCTACACACAACTATATAGACTGAAGTTCACAAATACTATTCATAACTCAGCTTAAATGCTATTATACATTTGATCTCTATATTTTATCTTTCTACTATGAATACTTCTAGTAGTTAACAGTACATATCACATCAAGCTGTAAACACCTAAATAATCATCTGTGAGCACTTATTCTTACATTTCAAGCTCAGTCAGTCAGCAATCATCTGTTATGACTGAAAGAACTAGAAACTTATATACTTCAATCTTTGTAAACTCTACTGCAGACACTCAGAAGTAGTTATCTGAATTATGAATAACTCTTATAGAAGAAGTTTCAGAGAACTTATTAATTACTCACAGAACATTATTCTCTACATCTATGACAGAGAAACTCTTCAAACTCATAAATAAATCAATCTCAGTAAAGAACATTCTTGAGCATCTCTTACAGAATTAAGTTATTTTTCTACAAGAAATACTTACTATCTGTAAACACTCTTGAACTGAGTCTCTAGACATAATCTTCAGAGATATCTATGAACTGAAAAGAAACTTTCTTAAGCTGTAATCACTTAAGATTACTTATTGAATCACAATCTATAAAAGCTTTTATAAGTTTGTATTTGAAATTGACTCACAAGCTCAGCTGTGTAATATGAAAGATGAAGAAGCTGTTATCTATATAATAACAGATCTCTATTACACTGAAGTCAAGAACTGACTAAATTATCTAGAAAATAATCATAAGAGATTCTACTGATCTGTTCTTAAGACCTATTTAGAGAATAAGTTAAGAGACTCTGTGAGCTGAACAGAGAATATCTGAGCTGTGATTATTAATATTAGAAAAAGAGATAAGAAATCTGATGAAGACTACTCACAGTACTTTATAAAATTATAATATGAATTAAGATCTGTGAAAACAGAGCTCTAAAATAAGACCTGAATAATAATATTTATAAAGAGACTGAATAAAGACATACAGAACAAGCTTATTGAGTAAGACTCTAAGTTCTTGATTCTGAAGAAACTGATAACTCTTATTCACTGCTTACAGATCACTGTGAGAGTCATAGATCTGTAGAGAGTAGATTATCAACTGACTCTGTAAGACTCAGAATAACAGAGAACAGATTTATTAGAAAAAAATAATAAGATATAGAGAGATTTATATCTGACTACTGAGTAGAAAGAGAGAGCTTCATAAGCTTCTATAAACAGAGTATATAATAGAGAGATTAAGAAAAAGAGACTCTGTTTTATTTATTCTAAATTAGAATATCTCTGCACAAACTGTTCAGATAAATTAAAATAGAAATTTGAGAAGTTATAAACAGAGTCAGTAACAGTCTTCTTAAGAGTCTTGAAGCTGACATCTGAATCTGTTACTCTCTCAATGAAAATACTTACTCATAGAGAGAGACTGCACTGTGATACTACTATCTTACAAGTATAAAAAGTATTGATGAACTCAGAATCTCAGATCACTGTAGTGTTTCTAAAGCTTACAGAGTGAATAAGCTGAAAGATGAAAACTGAGAATCTGCTCTTATAATAAACAGAATGTGAGAACTCAGATCTGAGAGCTGAGAGACTTATAAGAGTTATCTTTGAATTGTAAGATCTCTCTGAAATCTGAAGAAGATTTACAGAAACTGTGATCATTGCAGATATCACAGATAATATATACTTAAAACTTATATAACTTCAAAGATACAATCTATACATAGCTGTCTGTGAGTCAGGTTTATACTTCTGATCAGTGTTAATAGACTTACTTATAAAGATAGAATCAGTTAATACTGCAGAGTTAATTAGAGAAGACAAGCTCATCTATATAATAACTTTATAAGTGTCTGAGAATCTTACAGTTATGAAAACTGAGCTTCAGATATCAGAGAAATACTGAGATCTTATAGAGATATTCAGCTCAGTAAAGACAGCTAAGCTTTCTTCTCACTGTGAGAAGAATCTGATAATAGATTTAATAGAAGAGTAGAAACTCTTTTGAGAATAAATCTATAAGCTCTCTTATTATGAGACAGAGGTCTTACAGGTCTATATAAAGAAGAATCTGAAGAATAACTTTATCTGATCTTCACAGGCCTCTGTGAGAGCCTCTGTAATATTTATAAAGAAGAAGAATGAAGATCTCAGATTATGTATAAACTACTGTAATCTGAACTTCAAGATAATAAAGAGTTATTATTCTCTATCTCTGATTGAGAATGTGATCAACTGTCTCACAGAAGCTGTTATATTCACATAACTGAATATAATCAATATATATACACAGCTGTAAATACAGTCTGAGAATGAATAAAAGACTGTCTTTAAAACTGCACTGAGATTGTTTAAATATCTAGTAATGTCTTTTGATCTGACTAATACTTTCACAGTATTTCAGTCTTTCATTAATAAAATACTTCATACATATGCCAGCGTGGCCCAGTTGGTAAGACTGGTAACCAAGGCCGCACACATTAGGGGTGCGTGGGTTCGAATCCCACCGCTGGCACCTGCCACTTCTTACCCATGAAAGCCCCCATGTAATAGAGGCTGAGCCTAATTAGTAAGGCTTGATGCGGGGTAGAACTCCCTACTGCAAGCCAAGCCACTAGTTAAGTGAGATCCTGTGAACACTCACCAGAGCTGGCATGAGGTGCCAATGTCCCACTATTCTACTGTGCACCCGTCAAGGTTCTAATGATATAGAGCCAAGCCTAATGTAGTGATTATACACTACTTAAGTGAGTCCCTAACTAGGGCTGTCATTGGAGCCTAGCTCCCCCCCAAATACAGGAAATGATTTTG